TGACACACCACACGCTGCTTTTGTGGCTCTGATACAGTGGGTCCCTCACCTTCAGGCAGCTGAACGTTTGGTTTCTTCTGCATGGGATGTCCTGCCGTCCAACACACACACGCACACACCCGTATGCACCCGCGCACGCCCACGTGCATGTGTCCACGTGTGCCTCCTCACTTGCTTCCCTTGCAGCTTGGAGCTTGTCTCGCTGCGGAGATTCTGGGCGTCAGACGCCGGGGAGGAGCCGCACCGCAGGCTGTCTGACTGAGAGCTATCCCTATCCAGCTTTTACGAAGAATGCAAAATGGAATACCTGGCGGGAAAGGAGGAGATCGGGAAACGTGGAACTCCTACTAAGAGAAGGCCGTGGATGCTTCCAGAAGCACGCGGGCAGACATGCTAAGGACACTCAGCCAAGTCTAACACTCATGGGAAGCGCAAGCAACTGAAATAACGGACTGGGGGACATGGGTTTGCCTTGTCCTAAGCAATGGAAATACTCATTCTGTCCAAAATAAAAGTTTTTGGAAATCTTGTTTAGAAAGTAGCAGCCCACACGTTCGTTTAAACAACAGCGGGGCTGAGGAGCTCGCCCACAGGCTGGGCCGGGACCGCAGCGCCCCCCACCCCGGCTCCTGCCCCACCTTCCCCGTCCTTGGTGCTGCCCGGCCATCGCCCTCCCCGCAGCGGTCTCCCTCCCTCACCGGCCGCTGCCACTGCCCCACGCGGGGCTCCAGGTTATTTTTGTCTGGTGGGCAGATGAGGGCCCAGCTGGGTAAACAGAGCAAGGGTCTGCCTGTGGCCAAGGTCAGGGTGCACCTCGGGGAGGGCCTGCCCCCCTCCATGGAAGGTTTTGAGGACCCACCCTTGCAGGGGCTGTGAAAGGCGCACCAGGCTGGGCTGCAGGGATGGGACCTGAGGGGGCCTGGCAGGCGGGGAGGGCAAGCCTCCCCCCCAGAGCCCAGAGGCTCTGACACCCTAAAATTCGGCAGCCCCACGGTGCCCAGGGGGACCCCAGCAGCACCAGGGCTGAGGCCAGAGCAGAGGTGGTAGCTAGCAGATCTCGGGCCTCTGCCTCCAATCAGCCGGTAGCTGCTCTTGGGCTGACGCCCAGCCTCTCAGAGTCTCCCAGCCACTCCTTTGGCATTTTTTGAGTTTGGATCCTTACAGCCCTGGGTCGGAGTGGTGGCGGGGCTGCTGGCTGCCACACGAAGGCTCCTAGGGGACAGATGCCGAGCAGAGCCTCTGAGAAGTTCTGGCTGCAGCCTCTGGAGAATTTGCAGGAACCCTTCCTGGGGAGTCCAAAGGGGCTGTTCTGGGAGGGGTCACAAGGAAGGCCTGGGAGGCCGGTGACCGCCTGAGCCGGGGCGCTGGAAGGGCAGCAGTGGGGCCCGATAAGGGACAGCAGGCGGGGATGCGGCGAGGGGCGTGGGCTTCTCCTCCTGGCACCTGGGCCTGTCTCTGGCGCTCAGGAGTGGGTCAAAGCCTGCAGTGCGGTGAGAGTCCTCAGCTGACCCCAGGAGGGAGGGGGTGCTTATTGTCATGTGGCCAAGACTGGCCGCGGCCTGAGGAGAGCTGGGCCAGGCTGGCCGGGGCACTCTGCGGACGGAGAACGTGGGGCCTGGCACGGGCTGTCCTCCACCGGCATGCCCCAGAACCCAGCCCCCCATGCCCACGACGAGACTGTCTCCGCTAGGGCAGAGGACTCGGCATCACACAGGCCACACTCGAGAGCAAGAGAACCTAAAACATTTACTCTAAACAACCAAAGGGTCCAAGAAGAAATTACAGTGGAAAATTTAAAATACCTAGAAGCGAACGATGTTGAAAAAGTGACCTTCAGACCTCACGGGCTGCAGCAGAGAGGGGCTGTGGGGAAGAGGTGTGGGGTCTTGGCCCTCACCTGGGACTGAGGTCCGGGACCCGAGCCGCCAGCCACAGAAGCTGGAAGAAGCACCGCAGGACCCACCCAGTGGCGACAGTGGAGGGCAGAGTGCAGTGAAGGGTGGCGGGGAGGGGTGCGGTGGGGAGGGTCCCCAGCCAGAAGCTTCTCCAAGGAGGCAAATAAAACCAGCAGTCTGGCAAGTTGGATCACGAAACACAAAAGCCATGAAAAATGTTAGGAGGTAAGAAGGGACAGGAGAGGTTCAGTAGGAGGGGAAGTGGGTGTGGGACTCTAGTATCCAGTGGGCAGGTTCCGACCGGTCTGAGGATGGACGTGGGTGCATGCGGGTGGCCCAGGCGGCCTTATTACAACGGCCCCTGCGGCCTGCTTTCCAAAAGCGACAACAGATTCCCTGAGTCTCTGGCCACCAGCCGGGGTCCTGCGAGCCAACTCTGACTCGGCTGGCCCGGAGCCGGCATCAGACCCCACAGGTGAAAGGCTCAGCCCCCCAGGGCGGCCCCCACTGGAGGCGCCAATTGCAAGTCCAGGCTGTGTTCTGGAAATTGGGGGGTTCCCGTGATCCCTGCTCGGGTTCCACGATGTCCCAGAGCAGCACACAGAGCACAGGAAAGGGTTTCCCTTGCCATTACCTGTTTATTAGAAAGGATACAACTCAGGAACAGCCCCACGGAGGACCTGCGGGCAGCGAGGTGCCGGGGAAGGGCCGCGGGGCATCCACGTGCTTTCTGGGTGCCCCCCTCCCGGCACCCACACCTGTTCACTGACCAGCTCCCAGCGGCTCGGAGTCTGCCTGGCGGTTCCCCTGGGTGGGCATGGTGATTACCTGGGCGAGTGACTCCATCTCCCGTCCTCCCCCCTCCCCGGGGCTGTCTGCACGCCTGACCTCTCCGGAGACGGGCCTCTGTCCCGAAGCCACCAGTCATCCCAGGGACACACCCGAGACACTGTCACTACTTCAGAGATGACAAGAGTTGTAGGAACTCTGTGCCCCGAACGGGAACAAAGACCAAATATTCATTTTTAATCATGTCACTGGCCACCCCTTGGTCTTTGACCAGATCCTTTATAGGAAAATGATCATAAAGGTCACGGGCTACAGGCAGAGTAGTAGACTAGGTCCTGTCTGTTGTCGTCGTGCCCTGTGAGGACCTCTCCCGGGCCACCCAGCCCAGGTCTGCAGGCTCTGAAGGTGGGAGCGCACCCAGCCATACACAGCCGGTCCTCGAGGGCTCCCGGTGTTGTGGGGCCAAGAGGCAGCGCCGTCTCCCACTTTCTTGACGTGATCTGCACATTCGCTGTTATGTTTTCATTATTTGTCCCCAGACCCTCAGCTACTACTGTCCTGTCTCTCCGTCTGTGGTCTTTGGAAGGGCCTCCAGGCCTGGCCACCAAGACTCCCTGCACCAGGAGCGCCTCCCCTCCGTCCACCCCCATCCGACTACCAGACAACGGAGCTGCTTTCACTACGAACCCCGCTCTGCCAGATGGGGTGAGGACTCAGCTGCCTCATCAGGAACTCCGGTGCTAGGTTTAAAAAAGACCTCGCTACCGTTTCTGGCTTGGGGAGCGCCCGGCTCTGGCCCCGGGGCTGCAGCCCTGCTCTCGTGGGCAGGTGCATCTGGGCGGAAACAGAGGAGTACCGTCACCACGCCCGTGTCCCCGCAGCGCCTCTTCCCCAGACCTGCCAGAAACACACGCTGTATGGCGGGGGCGGGGGGGCTCTCCATGAGTCCCAGTGGCGCTGAGTGTGAGCCCACGTGCGTGAAGGCCCTCGTGCTTTGCACAGCCGCTGCTTTCGCCGCCCGTTCCTTCTCCAACACACGAGTCCTCGGAGGGGAGGGCTCTCGGACTCCAGGGGCTGTGGACTGAGTCGCCTGGGCTGAAGAAACGACAGTCCGCCCCCCAGATCGGGGTGTTGTGCCCTGCTCCAGAAGCACCCTGAGCACCTGTGTCCACCGCCAGTCAGCACAGCCCGGAGTCCGTGTCCCTCCTGCCAGGACCCGTCCGTGGCCCCGGGACCTCGGAGGCAGTGTCAGTGTCACCAGCCAGCTGTGCCCGGGGCTTCCCAGCAGGCCCTCGGCGCCCGCCTCTCTCCGGAGGCCGCCGGGACCGCGCTTCTTGGCGTCTGGTGCCTCTGCGGGCGCCCCAGGAACGTGTCTGGGCTCTGTCCACCTCTGCACTGCCGCCCCCACGACCACGCCTCCTCCAGGGAGCCCTCGGGGATATCCGCCTGCGGATGCATCACCTTCCAAACCTGGAAGGAACCCCTGCGACGGGCACTGATGTGTCCTTCCGCGCACTGCTGCAGTTCCCGCGGTCGTTCCCACGGGCCGGGCCACGCACTGGCACCGTGCAGCAGGCCCGGTCCCATCACCTGCCCACTGGACCATACGACCAGGCCGCTGGCCACTGCCCATGAGTCCTCAGAAACCAAACGCCGGGCTTCTCCCAACGGGTGAAATCTTCCCTCGCGGCTGGGCAAGCAGTGAGCAGGGTGGCCCATAGAGCTGATTGGCTGCCGGCTCCCTCCATCTGCACCACTGGGGCCTTCCAAACAGAGCCTTGTCTGTTCTCCTTGGAACTGCCGCCCGCGACCCAGAAGCTCTAGGTCGCTGGGCGAGACCTGTTCAGGTAGAATCCGGCCGTTCCTCCCACCGTCCCGGAGCCTGCCCTGGGGAGGAGAGGCTCCCTGCTACACCGCCTCCCGGCACCTCCTGGACGGCACGGGGCCGTATAAGCCACCGCCATCCCCGCCATCCCCCTGAGAGTGCTTTTCCACCATCAATTAGCATCTGGTAACAAGGTAATAACGCCCCTCAAATGGAGCTTCTCCCGCTCGCAGTCCCCATGGCCGTCGCTGGGAGGTGCCCATAGGCTCTTGCTGCAAACCCTGGCCGAGGGTCCACATGGGGCTGTGGCCAGAGAAGGCGCCTGCATCTACCCCTTGTGGCCTCAGGCCCCATGGACGCTGCTCAAGCAGTGGGGCTGCGTGCCCACTGTTTGCTGGCACCGGGTGGGGGACACCCCCAGGCAGACGTCCATCCCCAGAACACGGTCCAGGAAAAGAGGAGACAGCTTTCATGAGGCCTTGTCACACACTCTAGCTCCCAAAACCCGGCCCACCTGTGCGCGTGGCCCTCTCCAGGTCCCGTGGCGGCGGGTCAGGCTTGGCCGTGGACGTGCACGTGGCCCTCTCCAGGTCCCGTGGCGGCGGGTCAGGCTTGG